CTTGATGGTGCTGAGGTCCATGGGGTGTTTGATGATGTCGCAGTAGTCGTGCAGCCCCAGCGCCTCCACGTCCACGGGTTTGTAGAAGGGCCAGGCGTAGGCCGCGTGCTTCTTGGCAAACATCTCCTTGATGATTCCCCCGCAGTATTTGAGCTGCTCCGAGGCCTTGGAGCCGCGGCCCTCGGGCCCCGGGTGCTGCTGCGAGTCCGGGATCTCCTTCTTGGGCGGCTTCACGGGCCGGCCGCTCTCGCGCCGCGGGCCCAGCTTGGGAGCCTTGGGCTCGCCGGGCAGGGACGAGGAGTCGTGGATGGGATCCATGGCCGTGGGCGTGGTGGTGTCTGCTTTCCTCTTCACGCCCTTCTTTGTCTGAGGAAACGGCACGGGGGGTGGGTTAGGGAGGGGGGTTTGGGATGGAGGGTGTGGGGAAGCCCAAAATTTGGGGTTGGGGGGGGGTTTGGGGTCTGGTGTACCTCAAATTTTGGGGTTAGGGGTCTGGTGTAACCAAATTTTGAGTTACTGTGGGTTTGGAAGGTTTGGTGCATCCCAAAATCTGGGGATAGACTGGGGTTTGGGGTCTGGTGTAACACAAAATTTGGGGTTGGGGGGGTTTGGGGTCTGGTGTAACCCAAAATCTGGGGTTAATGTGGATCTGAGGTCTGGTGTAACCCAAAATTTGGGGTTGGGGGGGGGGTTTGGGGTCTGGTATAACCCAAAATTTGGGGTTGGGGGGGGTTTGGGGTCTGATGCACCCCAAAATTTGGGGTTAATGTGGGTCTGGGGTCTGCTGTACCTCAAAAATTGGGAATAATGCAAGGTTTGGAGGTTGGAGGATGCAGTGCATCCCAAAATCTGGGGTTAGAGTGGGGATTTGGGGTTGGAGGGTCTGGTGACCCCCAAAATTTGGGATTAGAGTGGGGTTTAGAGGATCCAGTGCATCCCAAAATTTGGGGTTAATGTGGAGTTTGGGGGTTGGAGGGTGTGGGGCACCCCAAAATCCAGGGGGAGTCCGGGGATTTGGGGTTTTGGAATTTCTGCTCTGGGATCGTCCATTGGAATGAATTTTTACTTCATCCAAAAATCCAAAGATGATCAATTCTAACACCAAGTTGGACTCGTTAATTAAGGCTAATAAAGCCATAAAAACACCACTACCAAAAATAATAATAATGCAGCAATAATTAATAATTAATAACACCAACACCAACACCAATAATAAAACCTTGATCTTCAATTAAGCTAATTAATCCTGGCTCACGAAGCTACTATAATAATGGCAATAATAGTAACAGTAAAAACAATAATAATAATAATAATAACAATAACAGGAAATAATCCCCAGTGTCTCACCTTGAGGGGCTGTGTGGGCAGCACAGGAATCATTAATAACAATAATATTAATAATAATAATTAAGAAGCTCACTGGTCTCACCTTGAGGGGCTGTGCGGGCAGCACGGGCAGGTGTGGGGATGGTCAATAATTACATTAATGCCATTAATAACAATAATTAATGATCTCTAGTCTCACCTTAAGGGGCTGTGCGGGCAGCACGGGGATCATTAATAAAGCCATTAATAACAATAATAATTAATGATCTGTGGTCTCACCTTGAGGGGCTGTGCGGGCAGCACGGGGATCATTAATAAAGCCATTAATAACAATA